ATTGAGAAACTAATACTAAAACGTTAAAGACAATCTCTATCAACATCTGTGAAGCTTCATAATATACACACATACTGCCTTTAACATCTTTATTATATTTTATATGAATTTTTGCTAATTATTTTATATTTTCTTTGGTGTGTAACTCAGTTTTTGCTCAGGGTCAGCTAAACAAAAGTCATAACTTCGTAATATTAATGAATTACAAAATACATAAATTTCCTTTACCAGTCAACAGTTAATTAGTCAAAAATATTACACTATATGTATGATAAATATTACATTATCCATACATATATCGTCATATATGGTCATATATATAAACATTAGATTTTATTTTGATTGTTATATCTCTAAACCTAATGAGACGCCTTTGTAACATAATTTTTGCATAATTTTCTCATTTCCTAAAGTGATCAACTTAAATTTATTATTAATTAAATATTATGGCCACCACAACGCAAAAGCATAGTTTAAGCTAAATTATTTACTTATATATATATACACAAATAAATTGATACTCATGCTCATATTTATCAAACCTCGTTCATTCATAAATGAAATAACTTAAAATTTAAATAAAATCATGACACCTGCTCAACACGAAACATAGATACTCACTCACACATCTTTGAACTTGTTTCTCACTGACTTGGATTTCTTTTGAATGCAACGCATTTCGAAAATGTGACACTAAAACAAAATATTCGGCACTAAAGATACATTTACGCTCGTGTGCAGTGCTGATTGTGGATTGAATTTTATGGAACGTGCACTTTTAATGGATTAAGTGACTATGGTTTTAATATCGTATTACGCCAGTTAAGCCAAAACAAAAAGATCACCAGGCAAACCAAAAACACTGCATGGGAAGCTTAACATTTTTGAACTGTAGAACGTATATTTTTGCACCCTTCGTTAAGTAATGGAATAATGCATTAAAAATTAAGAACTGCGAAGTGCATAGAGTCATTGAATAGCAGAAAGATTGATGATTGTTGAGATACGAGTATATTTTATAAGTCAAAACAATATTAAAGTTATGTCGTTCGCTACTGGCCTTAAAATATTTATTTTAAGATTCTCACTCAGAATCTGATGATATTTTGACATTTAAAATTAATATAAGATTAGTACGTCACATTCTGCCTTTTTATCTTAAAATATGTAAGCCATAAAATTGTATTGGGAATAAAATCTTTAATATATATTATAATGAAGCAGTGCTTATAACTTGAAATAGTATATACAAATTTTATTTTATATATAAATTTATTCATTGCACGCATTGTATCCCAAAAGTATCTAACTACAGAAGATAAATAAATTAAACAGAAGGTGTATGTACTATCAGAACCGTAGTTTCAGAATAAGCAAACTCTTTTAAATCGCAAACGTTTAATTTAGTCTTCAAAATTTGCCGTATTTAATAAAATATTTAACAAAAAATATATACGTGTACCTCAAGAAGGGACTCTGTAGAAATTCCCCTCCCCCCAGCTAAGAAAGAGTAAAAGTGCCCAGTTGCACTAACTCGGAAAAACTTCAACATAAGACCTCAAGGATAAGGAATTGATCTAAGCTTTACTAACCAACTAAAAAGAACCCTCAATAACAATATAAAATGTTCCATTCGCTATAAAACGGAAAAGAGCCGAACCAATTCAATAAATTAAGAAATCCAATAGCGATGTTCACTGCCAACTGCAGTTTGTCTATTCTGTTAGATATAGTTTCTAAGAAAAATAATGAAGTTCGCCAACAGGCTTTCAGCGTGGTCCATTTGAAGTTCTAAACAGGTCAACAATTTTCTATAAAATTAGAATCCGATTTTTTTTCCAACTCCGAAGACTTTGTTTAATATCCGATTAATCGAATTCTCTGAATATTTCGTTAAATCGAATACGATGAATACTACTGTAGATGAGGAATGCTGACAATTACATGGGGAAAAAAGATCCTAAATGAATCACAACAACCTGGCAATAATTAAGAACACACTAGTGACCAAGACAGCTGGAAGAAGCTTGTATAAAATTGTAAAATGTTTGTAACTCTATCAAGAAAATGATAATAATAATATCTCTAACAATAATAAGATGAAGAAATGTGCTTGCTGGCACTTCCCACTTATCCATGTTATATTAAAATTATGAAAACATTGTTTTATTAAGCATGGGAACATAGTTGAAAAAGGAAAATTAGCGTCTTTTTCTATATATAAGCAATACTAATATAAAATAACCTGATTACTGTATATGGTTAACAAATATAGTTTTTTACATACTTTATTTTATTTTTACGAATATTAATACATAAAAAGATATGTTCATATAAAAGTTTATGAATTTATGTTTGTTTACAACTACTTTATAAAGTTTTCTTTTATTAACCAATCAATGACAACAGTTTTTAAATATTAACACATACAATTTTTTTTATCCAAAATAAATCTAAATTTTGCTGTATAATTTTTAAATATACATGTCTTTCAACACCTACTAATATGTAAATTAATTCATATTAAATACTTGAATTTTAGACTAAATTTCATTCAGAAAAAATAGCAAAATATAAATATTTCATTGATCAAAAAGTTTTACGATAAAAACTATACGTAATAAACATGACATTAAAATTAAGACAGAATAATCAGCTTAAGGATCTTAAGGAACCGAGATACAAGTTATCAGAGAAATTGAAAAAAATAGCACAAAAATAGTTCGTTCAAAAAGTTTAAATTATATATAATGTTTCATTCCATTAAATATCCTTCAATTTGTATATAAAAATATTCCTTTAGCACCATGTATCTCGGTTTGCATACCTAACTGTATCCGAGGCAGCAGTTCTAGTGATTAGTGGAATCATACCTATCGATCTCCAGGCACATGAGCGGAGAAAACGCTGGGAACAGGATTCTCCCTGAAGTAATGCGAAAGCGGTCCCGGGGGAGATATCCCGCAGAAGAAGAGGGGGTGTTTTAGATCATAAGTAGGAGTCGGAGACACCATTCCGACGACGGTTGGTTTGACGGTGCATAGAACATTTCACCTTCTCACAAAAAAAAACCATGTATCTCAGTTAATACTTAAAGCCCTCGCAAAGCTCTCCTTCTCTTTTTGGACTAAAGAATCACCTTCCGTGTTTATACCGAAAGTTGAAAACATAGATATGGCTGATTACAATATACGAATATTTTGAATAGTAAAAATCAGAATAGTCGCCAATTTATTAGTATATTTTATTTTAATATTTTTTGTTTCTATTATTTTCCACAACGAAGTTCATAGAAAAAATTAAAACCAAAATAGTAGATATCCTGTCCACCAACTGCGATGTACAGCGATTGACCAGATACAAAAACAAACACTACTTTTGCTTGTTAACCAAAGCAAATTAGTAGTATTTTTTTACGTTTTAAGTTTTTTTTGAATTTTTTTTTTTGGTCTTTTGTTTGTATTATCCTTTGAAATAGAACAAAGAGTGGTCCAAACAAACTTTTGAAACTGCAAGTACGGGGGCGTATCATACGATGGCAATTGAAAGCAGCAATAATGTTTAATTTATCCGTTTTAACGAATAAAAGCAGATTATGGGACAACTAGTCTCTTCCCCTTTCGGTTCAGTAAATTCGCTAATTGAGAACACCACGCTGGTTTTGATAAAAAAAACCACTTTACTTTAGCACCAATGGCAAGATGCGCATTTACAATGCCTACAATCATAACGAGAATGGATAACAAAACTACTTGAGAAATTTTAATTGCCGAGATATAAACGTTAACAGCCATAACAACAAGTATTAGACGGCAAGATCCAATGTGGAACGCTATATATAACTCTTACTAGTTGCAGGTGGACATGACAGAAACAAAATATATGGATTCACCATATCTGACGAATTTTTCAGGAAGTCATACTGCAATTATTGCTTAAAACAAATGATCTACCAAGATGCCACTAGGCATCCAGCCTAAGCTGCAAACACAAAAGATTGCAAATGTACTTAATTTCAATATATAACAAATAATATAGTATATGTTTATTCAGATATAGTCAACACAGATTACAATTCATAAAAAAAACTTTAATTTTCTAATTGTAATTATATCGAAAATTTAGAACTCCGAAAGGAAAACCATATAGCAGAGATAGGATAAGGCATAAGATAATTACAAAAGGAGCAACACTTACTCAGCTAATAAGGAATAAAGGGATTTAATAAATATAAATGTTCACTATCCTTATACAAAATCTGCAATTAAATTATTTATAATGTTTCACAAAGTCATAGAAAGTTTTGTTGAATTTGGAATACTGTTTACTTCAGGAAGAAAATCTAGTTTATTATTATTAAAAGATAACTGGTTATACCATATATACTCAAGAATTAAATAGTATATGTTTTGTATTTTATATATGTTTTATACCCCATTTTTCGCTATTACAAAACATGATAACTCTCTAACATTTATAAGCATTTATATATAATAAAACCTTTAAGTAAAAGGTTATATACTATTAGGAAAACATTAAAAAATTTGAGGAGAGAAATTGTACAATTTGACAGGGATTTTATTTATCATTGCTCCAACATTCAAGTTTTTCACTACATTATACATTACAAGCTTGACAGGGATTTTATTTATCATTGCTCCAACGTTCAAGTTTTTCACTACATTATATGTCGATGTCAAGCTTAACATAGTTCTCTAGATATCAAGAATTTGTGATATATATCAGTACTCTATCTGTTTTCACTACACTATATGTTATGTCAATATAGCTTAGTTCTCCAAATTTCAGGAAATTGGATATATGCTAAAAATAGATGACATGAGAACAGAAGAGAACATGACTACTGTCATATTCAGGGCGGTGAAAAGCTTAATAGTAACACTTCTGCAGTTAACCAATCGTATTTTCATTTTCATTTTCATTTAATCTATCCTTTACGGAGGATAAAATTAAAATTAATTAATATGTATAATAATTACCTTTACTTCCTTTAATAATATTATTACTGCCATTGTTATTGTTGCCATTGTTAACAGCATTATTATTATTGCTATTCGAAGCGGATATTTGACTATTAATCGATGAAGCACCACCCAACGACGCCACATCCTCACGTGAAGCGTTCATTTGCATTTGTAACGCATGCATTGATGCAGTTTTCTTCATGAAATTAGTATGAATTGCTTGGCCGATGATGTTGCCACCGCCAATGCTGCCCGCATTTGAAGATGTTTCTGATTTGTTGCAAGAACTTACACAATTTAGCGTATAAATATCGTTACCGTTACCGTTACCGTTACCGTTGTTACTGCCGCCATTGTTATTGTTACTGCAACTGCTGTTGTTATTTCCGTTGGCAACATTTAAGTTTGAGTTTCCGTTAAAAGTAGTTGTGTCAGTTGTATTAGGCATCGAAACTGCTGCCATTGTTGTTCCTGCTAAGTCAGTAGTTGTTACTAAACTATCAGCAGCACTGAATTGTTGAGAATTTGTAGCTACTGATGATGGCTGAGGCGGCGGCGGATAATGATAATGATGTTTACTAAAATGCAATTGTTGTTGCTGCTGCTGCTGTTGCTGTTGATGCTGTTGATGCTGTTGATGCTGCTGATGCTGGGTAAGTGGCTGTTGCATCGATTGTTGCATATGTTGCTGATAATCATCATTTGCTGCGGCAAAAGTGCAAGTTGTTGGATTGGAATTTGTTGTTATTGTTGTTGAGGGAATTGTTTTTGGAATGGCTGCAGTGGTTTCCGTATCTAAACCTGTTGAAATTGTTGCCATTGTTGCTGAAGTGCCTAGAGTAGTTACTGTTGTTGATGCTGTGGTGGATGGCGAGTTTCGAGTAGTTAATGTTGGCATTGCGTTACGCTGTTTATTTACTTAATTTTTTTTAAGCAAGGTTATTTCAAAGTTGAAAAATTCATGAGATTCTTTGACTTTTTTTTTAAAAATTTTTAAAATTTTTTAAATTTGTCTTAGACATTTAAATTTAAGCATTTCCACTTCAATTACGAAATTATTTTATTTCATTTTGGTATTCGCAATTCTTTATGTACTCAATAATTGGCATTAATAATATGTGTTATAGTTTTTATCTAATTTTTTTTAATTGAGAATTCGTTGTTTTCATGTTTATCCACATAGAATTGTGCAATTATTCATATTGGAATGCTTTTAAGAATATATCACTTAATTACTTCGATTAACATTTTAATTAAAATAATTATGAGCATCTCTTCAATTCAAGATCACATTTTTTTAATTTATAATATTGGATTTCAAAGACATTTTTAAGTAAAGCATCTGAAATAAAACCAAAAAAATTAATATTTAAATATTAAACACATTATAAAATTTTTTAAACAATATACAAATATAACTACATACATTACTATAATAACATATATAACATATATATAATATAATATAATATAATACACAATAAAATAATCTATAATACTAATTAAATAATGCAGTACTCTTGTGATATCTGACTGAGAGAATGATGTCAACTTGAAATACTTTTCAAATTGAGTCTTCAGAGCGTAATGATTAGATGCAACAGTATTTTGATTAGAGATTAGAGACTATGAGGTAAGTATTTTGATTTAAAAATGCTAAAACTGCCAAAACTACAATTGTAAATATTTGGTCCAAAGTATATTGAGAATATCTCGCAAAATTTTACGAAATATTTAGTATGTTCACTGAGACTAAAGTTTGTTTAATGACCTTACTAAATCATTGACTTGCTTTATTGAATCTTAACTTTTATAAAGAACTTCAGTAACTTTCTTTTTATTATTGGTACAAATATATGACCAATTTTAAATAACGAAGTAATGGCATAAGTATGTTATTGTACTTTTCTCACATATTTTAGTTATAACTCCACATATAGTTATCCAAAAGCAAATATAACTGCAATTAATTATAACAGAATAAAATGTAAATTAGCTGAAAATACAATAGTCGTATTATTACATTGTACTACAATAAATAGAAATATAATAGAAAAATTATATTAAACAAATAATTATTTCACTTGAACATTGAAGGAGCAGTAATACTTTATAATTAATATCTGTAGAAAATTGCAATTAAAACAGTAGTTACTTTTATATTATAACGGAAATAAGCTACGAAATAAAAACTACCTAATAAGACATCAGCAGGCTATACAAGTGAGCAATTTAACAAGGATATATATAAAGATTATAAGCAAGAATTTTGTCATATAAAATACCTTAACAGTCTTAATATTAAATCTTTAAAATATCATTTAAATATATCCATAAATTTTTATTGAGTTGGAAAATTGGTATAATAATGGGATAACTGATCTATACCAATGTATACTACATGTATTTCGTTTAAAGTATTTAATTCTTAAATTTCATTTAAAGACAAAAAAGTAAAATCTATTTCTTCTCCTAAATTCTCTTCTAACTTTTTGTTGAAAATATATCAAATCTGACGCTTCGGAATTTCGAACATTTTCAGTTGGTTCGTTTTAAATAAACAAAGACCATTGTAAAATGCACAGATTCTTGCTCCAGGAAAACAACAGTACATCAAGGTATAACCATTACTTAGCACTGCAACATCATCATTATAGCTGGTAGCTATACATGCAATGAACATTTCATAGTTTCTGGGCAACAATAGTCAAGCGTTCCCAGAATGTTGCTGTGCATTAAAGCAGTAGAATGCGTTAATCATTCGTCATCTTGTCAACATGCAATTTTTGTTTGATGTTTTACTTCATGTTCCGTTTTTTTGCAACGAATTAAAATCAATTTGCTCTACGTTCTTCTTTAACTATCTCAACATTTCACTTAAATGCAGTTAAACTCATTCAGATACGGTTAATATTCGTATGACTGCAGAATAGAGAACAAACAGCAATACAGAAATATTATAGAAGAAGGTAACGTTGACACCATATCAGAGTCAGTGCGGTCTGTACAATTAGCATATCATAACGACGAAACTGTAGATTCGAAATGTAAACTGGATATATAGTAAATCTCAAAAAATGTTCGGGTTTGCTGTATTTGAAAATGTTAAGCTGATTCCGTTTAAATCATTCTTCAAAATACACCAATGTGTTAGTATAAATATAATGGAGCGGAAAATAAAGTTAATAAGGTTTAGATATGCGATAGAAAGTGAATATTTATATTGTATGGGCTTTGAATTGCGAGACCGGCACTCCTACCTAATCGCGGGTAGTGTAATACATCTCTTAAATATTTCTGTTTATAAATAATATGTATATAACAATTTACAACAAATTTAAATAAAAAATCCTTACAGTGTAAATACAAAAATTATACAAAATGCGAAGCAACTAGAAACAACGCAAGTCGAATCATTGAATATCGACAGTATCTTAGGTTAGGTTATACCATCGATCCCTGGTGGATCCCCTTAGGCCTATTGACCCATTGTGTTACCGTATATATAGGAAAAACTCAGAAAAGTACCTTTGAGTAGCCGTGCATGAGCTGGGCAAAAACATAATAGATGAAAGGCACTCTCATCGTCTTCCCCACAGGTGCGACAGGTTTGATTGAAAGGAAAATCTAATCTTCTAGCATGGTTCCCTAGTTTACAGTAACCTGTAAGTAAAACTACCAAAAGACCAATATCTCTTCTGGGTATCTCAATAAGAATTTTGGATTTCATTTAATAGGAGCAAGACCAGATTGCATACAGATGCTTACATATCGTTGAGTCTGCCCATCTTTTATTAAAAATTTCAGCACAGAAAGAACTCAGCAACAGTTTGTATAACGATATGCCCAGATTATTTAGGTCTTCGAGTGAGATCCTAAAGCACCCTTTCCAGCTAGCTCGTCTGCTCTGCTTTTGCCGATAACATCCCTAAAAACGGAAAGACAGAAGCTTATTCTGAATTCGCATTTGGCTTAATGATATTCTTTCTTGATTCAGATTTTCTATCCAAATATATAGAAGGGACTCCATTTTTACAATTAATGGATTTCTAGTTTTTGTAACTTGTTTGACCTGCAAATATGTGACAGCTTTTCCATTGTTCTTACAGTAATTGGAGCTAAACCCTGATTCTCCCAATGTCAGCAGGTTTTTCTCCAAGTTTAAAACGTTTTAAAATATCTAACTTTTGTTCCAAAGAAATTTGTTTTCGCTTTTGACTCATTTTTATGCTTTATAAAACAGAAATTTACCTTTCCACTTCAACACACAAATGTAAACTGACACCTTTTAACTAAAAACTTAATACATGTAAATCCCCTTTTACACAATGTGACAAACAAGAAATAAAATGGGAATTCCCTCTGTATGTATGTATTAAAAAACAACACAAATCGAAACACTACCAACGCGTTTCGAAGCTAAAACTTATTATTATTATTAGTATTATTGTATTACTCTATTTCCTTTTTGTTATGCATATTAGTTATGGCTGATGTATAATCTTGAATGACTGTTGTATGTGGTAAGCCATTCCTGTAAATATATTTAATAAGAATAAAATTCCTAGACTAGACTTAAAGTTTACCATTAAAATGCGAAAATGACAATAATATAGTCATATAATTTTGATTCAATCTTCATAAACATTAAAATATAAAAAAAAAAAACAAAAAAGATTATCTAATTTATAATAAATATTTATTTAGGCGAAATTTAAAAATATGTAACAGATTTATCACTTTAAATTTCTTTAAATCCTTTATTTACTTAGGACCAAATATACCCAGGACGCAATTAAGAACTTTATATATACTTTATTTTTCTTGTCAATTAACAAATATGCGCGCTATTTATTTATTTACAATAAAATATACATATATGAATATATAATATTATAGAAAACTAAATCTCCTATATTCAAATGGGAAAATTTTAATAGTTACATATATCACTTATTACTTCTAATATTCCTTATTCCCTTCAATATTCATTCATTTCTGCTTGAATCAGTTATCTTTATTTTGAACGCACTGAGAAAAAATAGCTTGAAGTGAAGTGGAATCATTTGGTGCTAGGTCTGCACTATAAGGTACATAGATGCATAAGAACTTCTCAACCAATCTCCCGGAGAATTTGGCGTATCATTATCGATGTTTGTGGCCTAGCGTTGTCCTGATGGAACACAACTCCTCTCCTATTGCCCACAACTGGCAATTTCTGGGAGATTGATTCCTTCAGATGGTCCAATTGTTGCCAGTACAGTTCCGTGTTAAGAGTTTTGCCATAGGGGAGCAGGTCATAGTAGATGATTCCTTGCCAATCCCACCAAACACACAACGAACCTTCCGGGCCGTCAATCCTGGCTTGTCCACCGCTTCAGCCAGTTCACCGCGATCGCTTTCGCTTGACAGATTTACCATATACAACGCTGAATACAGATAACAAAAGCCATCTATTGGTAAAATAATGGATTTCTTGTAACTGCACTCAACATAAAATAATTTATATATTTCAGTTATGGACAGTTAAGGATGACCGATACTATATGGATATATCCAGATAAGCTGAAGATGCAAGATAATTTAGATATGCAATAGATTAATTAGGCTTAAGTTATAAAGCTCGCTTTAATAAATTCATCGAATTGCTAATCTATCGTTCTCCTGCAAAATTAGTGACTAGTCTAAATTTACTATCACTTAAATGAGGGTAACGTACCTTTCGGTGTTACTGCATATGAACAACGTTATTCCATGATATCACAACGGGCCATTATTTAAGCTCAAGTGGGCTTAGATTACAAGACTGTTCCTCCAATTTAACATAATCTTTGGTTCTACTGCTTGATTTGTTTAATTAGATCATGTTAGAGAAAATAATAGATATATCTATTCCAAGAGCTCAAAATAAATTTATGAATTACACATTCGGCATGCGTATAAGATACAATTGACTCAAGTGTAATAAATGTGAACTGAACATCTTCGAAACATGAAACAAAGTAACTTCAAGAGTAAATAATTGAACCACAATTTCCAGCTTGAATTCGACCTATTCAAGTTTCTTAAATGTTGACTCATGCAGTCTGAATGCACGCAACAAATAAAGATAAAAAATACTACACAAGGAGTAAAGAAAAAAACTACTATTAAATGAAGCCAAAATAAAAAAAAATAAATCCAAAATAACATCAACAAAATGCCAGGCACGAGTAAAAAATTTCATGTCAAATATATGTAAAAATATTTCATAGCCTGGAGATCAAGATCGTTATAAAGCAAAGCAAGGTGGGTGAGGTAAGTTCAGCAAAATGTTGCATGTAGTAGCGACTTTCCGGGACACAATAATACACTAACGTAAACGTTAAAATAGCAGCCAAGCAACATTTTTTCCCAAAACGTCATTGCAAACAAATTATGAATTAAATTGTGTATGGAAGATACAGGAAGATTCGTTCACTCTTCATCATGCTTTAACACATGGACAAGAGTAGAATAAATACGCCACACTGCTAAAATCAACTTAATTGGTTGCCATATAATGGGAAGTCGTACAAACATCTGCTTGAGAGGTGTGTAAAAGTGAGGCTTTTAAGTGGTAAAAAAAGGTTTTCACAAAACATATCAAATTTTGAATACTGAGTATCTACGGAAATACAAGAAGGTAAGAAAATCTATTAATAATTTATAGATGATTGAAGTAATCTGAATAACAACATATCACTAATTTACAACTAAACTACTGGTAGATGAACCTCTCACTACAAGAACCTATTATTAATAAGTCTTGCTCACTATGGAATGCACCTTGTATATAAATAATATATATACATATATGTTTTCTATATGTAATGTAATAAAACAAAAAAGATTTTTACTTCCAATAATAAATACATAAAAATCTCCATTTTGTTCACGACGTTTACGTACTCTTACAACATATTATACATACCTCTAGGGACCTTCAATAACACAGAGCCCAGAGCAAAACTACCCCACTATCTTTTGTTTCTTTAGTCCATAATAAAGTTAAAAAAATTAATGGCAACAATTAAAATAATACTAATAGGAGCAATATTATTTAAGTATTTAAGAAGATATTTAAAAAAAGACTTAAATATTTCAGATTATTTTAATCACAGAATTAACAACCTATAATATTTCGAACTATTACATACAAACGCAATAGACCCCTACAAAATATTAATTTATGGTCATATCAATTTAAAATACCTATGTTGCTAATTAATTTATGGCATTAAAAGAAAAATGTTTACATGGAACTTTGAGTTAAAAAACAATATCTAACTATACAGTTCTAGCATTCGAAGTATTTTCGTGATATGTAGTGAGACCCCTAATTAACGTCACAACTTTAAAGACATTTCTCACAACTATTAAATGAAAGGACTAATTAGTCTTTTAAGGACTAGTTAAAACGCATTTTTTCTCAGTACAATTGCTTTAAGATTTGAGATTATTAACATATCACCTACCCAAACACCTTGACCTGCGCAACAATCTCAACATAAATGAACAATCTACTTTAATAGTATGACACTTTTGTATGAAATATAGTGAAGTTTTTAATCAATTTCAATGTGAATAGTAGGGAGAGAAACTTTTGACCATATCAGCAAGCAGAAACTTTCAATAAAAGATATTCTAAAAGCAGGGGGTTACTAGTAGTACAAAAAATCTGTTGGCATCATTACATTTAATAAATTTTATTATATTATATATTCATATATATTATATATTTTTAAGTCTTTTTACAATATCTTTATACCGCAAATCATTATTAACATTAACTGATATGACTTTAATGTTACAAATATGCTGACACAAAGGTATAAATAAGGACTCAGCATAAACTTTAAGTATTATCATTACTACTTGATATATCTTCTTTCAAAACTTTTATTTCTTTAATCAAACAAATGAATATATATTGACGTACTCGTGTCTTTCCTATTTACCATTCAACGTTTTTCAATGTAATTTTACGTATAGTTTACTGATCTATACAATTTTTCTATATAACATAACACCTAAATTGAGTTGTTTTAATCCACGGCCTTCCATTATCTTTTCTAACAGTGAAACTATATCATCCTATATATCAAAACTATATATAAGAGGCCTCCGTATTTTAAAAGAGTATTTTATTAATTAATTTTCTTCTGTTCTATTTCTTCTGACGGACTTTTGGGAAGTAAACAGCTTTCTATTCTATTTCACAATAAGATTTGATATTTTCAAAAACGTGTGTCAAACTGTTAAATCGGTTTACTTTATCAGGGGTCGACAACACTCATAACATACAAATCTTTTAAAAATTCAATAATGAAAATGGTTCTGCAAGACGGAATGGCGCAAAAAATTCGGTACGTATTTGCAGCCACCTGTCGCTGGAGAAGAGGTGAATAAAAAAAAGTTCAATAATTTGAAACGTGTACAGGTTGTATTAAGGACGATCGCCGTAGAAGCTGATCGTCTCTGTTAACAACAGGGACGACTTCAAATTTTCATAAGCAAAATATTTAAGCTGGCATCGCGCATTTTTTCAACTTTTTAGCAATCGGAAGCAAAAATGAACTGTTCATTTCATATTTTTATATGAATGACTACTTTAATATAATAAATATAAATAGATAAAAACAACAATTGATACCGAATGAGACCCCATATAACACGGGCATTCCCCCATATAACGCGGGGATTTGTACAGTTCAAATTGCCGCAAAAGGCGATGGAAAAGTATCTTACATTAATAATTTCCATTATAGATTTATTTAAAATAAAATTAATATATTTTAAAAATGGAGTGAAAATATAAAAATGCATTAATATTAATTTCACAATCGTCAATATTGGAAAACTCACTTTCATTCGCACTTTTTTCTATAAAAGAAAAGAAAATATAATTTAAAGAAAATGTGAATGCAGATCAGTGCCAGGGGATCTCACTTTCCATTTTCACCTTGCATTGCTTGCAAATCAAAGGCAAAATACGATTAACACGTCCGTCCAACGTCAACAAGACACTTGTTAAGGTGACCAAAAACAGACAACCGCCATGCCCGAAACTACCACAAAACACGTTAGACAAGCGACAAGACTACGCGAATATACGGCGAAGGAGTGATCACAGAGATACGCACTTTATTTTCTATTAAACTTTTTCTTTTTTATAGATTTTTATAAATTAGTGTGAAATATTTTATTCACTTTAATAGCACAATAATATATTGTTCATTGTGTTTCTTTTATTATTTTAAACTTATTAACATTTAATCAGAGCCAAACACAAAAAGGTTAACAGTAATGCGCTGAAATATTCAGGCGAGACAAACGAGACAAGCGAGACAAGCGAAACTGACAACGTTTGAAAATGAACTGAAACGAAACTTGTTGTGGAAGTTGTGGCAAACGTATTTGGTTTTGGCCAGATGAGTTAAATATTTTTTTTTACTAGAGTTGAGAATTCAATGCATACAACTCTCTTTCAGTGTTACTCTTTAAAATGCATTTGTTGGTAACAAAATTGTTAATAAAATAAAATATAAATATTTAAGCAATAAATAAATATATAGTATTATATACTATATTCTAAAGATATAGCCGTGTTATCTCGTTTCAAATGAAACATACTTATGTAAAGAAAAAACATTGTATTTAAGTTTTTTGTTGTTATTTAATCGGAAATAAAAATAAATGTGAATATCTCTTATAAGAATTAGAAGTAAATCGAATTAGTAATATTTTAACAACTTAGAGTTAACAAGTTATTTAAATTAAATTAAATATCTCTTGTATTTTACTATGCGCGTTAAATATTGTTTTTTTTTAGTAAATTAATTAATACGTTATTTGCAGTATATTGTTAAATTAAATATATACGGACAAATTATTCAAATATTTTCGCCACTACTGTATTTGTCACAAAAAAAAAAAATGCAATGCTATACTTACATTCCTTATAGTGGTCTTATTATTTTTAATGCAATTAACATTTGTTTGTTAGGTTGTTAGTTCACTTTTATAATTTAGTAATGCATTATATTATTATTTTTTTAAATAAATTATTTTCTGATATTTTAACAAGTTTCGCGTTTGTTTTGTTTTTTCACAATTCACTTTACTCTCACTGGAATGGCATGCATTTTAGCATTTGTCGCAACTACACTAAATAAAACTCATATTCAATATATTTACAATTCTTTAGTTAAATATTTATCTAATACAAATGTATAACAATTCGTTGTAATTTATTTAAATTTAAATAATAAAGAAAACGTGAATTTTAAAAGAATTTACTACGCGTCGCTACATCACGAAGCAGTGTTGCAAATTGTTAAACATTCACAAATATGTCATGTTAGTTGGATTCAATTGTTTCCTTCAATTAAAACATATAATATATAATTAAATAAGTTACTTTCAAAAGTATTATTAATAATTTATATTGAAGCCAAAAAAAAGTTAACTGAAAACCATTTCTCTTATGTTTAGTTTAAATAAATTCTTAATGGAACAGAAACCACTGCTAATCTGACAGGTGGTTTTTTGTTTATTTTTGTTTGGGTTGACAATTCACAATATTATATATCGTATTGCTCATTTTAAATTGAAAACAATGCAAGTATTTTATTTACAATTTATTTTTCTATATAAATAATAAAAAAATTTGTTTAATGTTAAAAGTTAAGTTAAGCCCTCTAAAAACAAATATGCTTCTCTGTTATATATTACATTATAACTACTTGAAACATTTAAATATTATAGCATATAGTAATTTATTATTATATTAAGATGCGTAACATCTCAAATAATCTTATTTATTTATGTTATTCATATACTCGATATTGAAATTTGGTAGAGCTTATTAAAACTTCTGCTCTCATCTATGTATATACAATGTATATTATACATACAACCTATATAAATTCTAATAAGGACATAAATCATCATTTTTGTAACAGTGATGCCAATGTCTCGCTTAGCGAATATAGGCCAACATGCATTTTTTGCCACACTTGCGAGCCACCGAAAACGCCTAATATTACATATAACTAATTCAAATTATTTGATTTATATCACAACTATAATATATTGTACATCCAACACATGTGTTATTATACCGCGAAAAAAAAATTCTGCAATATACGGCCACAGAAGATCTTACTACCCAATTATATTAAATCAGATAATCTTCCTACATGTAAAAACTCAAACACATTTTTAAATATTTTTTGCTCAAACTTTTATTTGATGTTAATCAATTAGATCCATGTTTAATTTTATTGTTTAAAGATACACCTGTAATAAAGAGTAAATTTTTCTTTGTTCATAGTACACAAAACAGCATTAAAATAATCTTTGTGAAACTGCCTTCTTCAATGGTTTTTGAGCTAAAGTAAAATCGGCAAGCTTATAAATGGAATCAGATTTATTGTTAACCTTAAAACACGTAACATCAGTTAAATCTTAATTTGATATGTGTGAATTGTTACATATAATACTATAATGATTTCATAGGTACTTCGTATTAAAGAACATACCCAAAAGTATAAGATATAAAGTTACATATAATTTATATATGTAATTAAACAATCGTATTAAATATGTTTACACTTCCTTTAAAATTAAGATTTTAATTAGATCTAAAAATTCCATATTCAACTAATCCTATTGACTACACCTGTTGCACACGTTAATGCAAAAAAACAAAGATCAGTACTAATATACATCAGCGTAAAATTAATATATATCTGCATCAATCTACTCTATCAAACTCTATCTAATCTATCAAGCTACTATCATAGCCAGAATTCCCCGTATCTTCTGTATGGTAGATTGTACAAATCAGCCAGAAAATGACTAATAGTCTCTCTAAATTATAAAGGAATAGTGATTAAAAATGTATATACTATGTCGTCACTATTAGTGAATAGTAACTGATTAAAATGTATACACGCAACTAGATTGAGAGCCATTTTCGGGGACTTCTGTAGATGCTATCAGGTTGGGGACATGGAGGAAATGATTGAATATTTATATTCATTATCTACTACTTGTATCTCTTTAAGCTAATAGTTAACTCTTTAGATTTTTTCTATGAGGAATTGGCAGAGTTGGATGTTGTTAACTTAACAAAACTTTTAAGGTTTGTTGCCAAAACCAGATAGGTTATCAGAAATGAAAAAGAAAACAAAAGGTATATCCGTGATACTCCGACGAACCCTAAACCTTGGTGAGTCTTGACTCTTCCTTATTACGAACTGCTATAGTAATAATATCTGAACATTTGAATGATCTTAACCATTTTCCATTTGATCTTAACTCTTCACCTCACTATTAAAAAGTTGCTCATAATGCGTTCCAACAGTTAAATGGCTTGTAATCAAAAATACCTAATAATATAAGCCGACCGTGAGGAACACAATTTTTACTAATTACAAATCAATGTGACCAGCTAAACCGAATAGTGATGATATGTTTATGGTTATGAAAATAATTTTACCAGCAATTGATTGATATAAAATTCATATGGTATATCTCCTGTTAAAGGATCCACAGCAACAGCCATCATTTCATCAATTTCCTCCTGAGTAAAAGGTTCTCCTTCTTCCATCATTAATTTTGTTAAATATTCCTTTGTTATAACACCTTTGTGTTCTTCATCAATAGTACGAAAAGCTTCGAATAACTCATCTGGCTGAGCAGGTTCCCATCTAAAACAAGATATTTATTTTTATGATAAATCAAATATCTTTATATTAATAAAACGTACTTATGCTCCATCAAGTATTGAGACACATAAGGAAGAAATTTTGACAGACTGATTTCTCCTTTGTTATCTTCAGACTATAAAAAATATATAACCAAAAATATTAAGTAGACTAGTTCAAAAACCTTTATTAAACAATCACAAAAAAAATATTAATTTTTTTTAATTACTTCACCTCAGTTGCTAAAATAACTTCATTAATTTCTTGTTCGGTAGGTACACAACCTAAGAACCGCAAAACAGTACCAGCTTCACGTACATCAATTGATTTGTCTCCATGATGATCAAAAACACAAAAAGCATCTGATATACGCTTCTCCAAATCATTTGTAATACGCGCTATATACAAAATTTAAAAATTTAGCAAATTATCAATTGCTGCATATACAATATTTTGATATTTATTTGAAAAATTTTATACATACGCCCCCCTTCCATTTTGACTGCAAATTTTGTTTGAAATTTGTTTTGTATTGTTCGAAGTTTTATCTATAAATAAATCGTAAAATAATTCAGAATTTCATTTATTATTTGGGTATCTAAGTTACTGAATGTTTAGTTATAAATAAAGTTAGGAAATAAATACTTGCTAGGCAACCAAATAATTTTTAAATTTCTTTCGTCTATGTCGATTGTCGATTAAAAACGGCTGTCTTAGCTAATTGAGGAGGATTTGGTCCTCCCTCCATCACAATCAACCATGCATACAGATAATAAATATACTAGTTGCTTCATAAATTTGAAGTCGTGAAATAGAAAAATAAATAAAATGTGGCGTTTAATAAAATATTTATTTAATAAAAACTTAAATGATTTTTACAAGTGTAATAAAAATAGAAATATAAATAAACAGAATACCGTCTCTTAACGAAGCGGAGCACTTTTGTGCTGCAAGTGTATATACTACAGATATAATTTTAATTTTAAAGATTATAAATCTTTATAAAAACTACGTTCTTTTAAAATATTTCTATTTTAATATTTTTTATATGATTAGAAGTTTAGAGGTTTGATTATAATAAAGATTGTATTACTAAATAGTTATTTTTAAGGAAAACCATTAAACATTTGTTTACAATTTCCTTTTATAGTATATTTATAAGTAACCATTTGTGGAAAAGGGCGGTAATGCAGTGCAACACTGTGTTCCCAACAAAGACCACTGCACTATCATTATTGCTTCGGTAAATCTACCACGTCATTTTTACACTACCAACAACGACCAATCAAAACAGACCAAATCAATGAATTAAAAATTCGTTTTTAAAAGAAAACATGTTATCATAAGGCCAGTGGAATTCGTACACGACATTTTAAAGAAAGAGTTGCATCGGAAAAGAAGATATTACGTGAGAAAATTGTAAACACGAAAAAAAACTATTTGAGATGAAGTGGAGTAAAGGTCCGTCACCTTGTAAAGTTGAAAGAATTAAATCAATGAAAATTTGAAACTACGTATTTATGTTTTAACAGCTCTTCATATTTTAACTGATTGTGGCAGTGTTAACATAAAGTTTTACAATTTTAATAAGAAGATATTCATATAATGCAAATCTAAGATTATTTCCTGTTCTTTAAATTGATTATAGTTTAAAAGAATATTTAAAACAATATGACAGCAACAGCACCTGCAGTTTTTATAACTGTGCCCAAATATGTGGCAATTACACCATCAACACCGTCGTTACCAAAAATAAGACCAGCACCCACACCTGTTGTCATGGACGCAATTCCAGTGGCAACAGATGAGGGTGCTCCGAAAGGCAAAAAGAGACGTTTGGACCATTTAACATGGGAAGAAAAAGTACAGAGAAAGTAGGTTCTTAACTGAATATTTTAATTAAAATTTTTAAGCTATGTAAAAATGATTATAGGAAGCTGAAAAATCGTGTTGCTGCCCAAACATCCCGGGATCGCAAGAAGGCACGTATGGAAGAAATGGAATGTGAAATTAAAGAACTAAATCAGAAAACTGAAATATTAGAAAACAAATGCGAAAGCTTACAAGCAATCAATGATTCGCTTTTGGAAAAAAATCAAAAACTTGACATGGAAGTGGAAATGATGAGGCAACAACTACTTGAACTGCAACAACAACAACAACAAATGTCTGGCTCAAAATCGAAAGTTGCTACTTGTACTGGCTGTGAATCCATACTTAATGGATCTGCAGTATCCAATACTGACCCTCTGCAGCAGGGATCACCTCTAATGGAATCACAGTCAATACAAGCACAACTGAAAAAGACCAGCATGCTAGCAGCACTGTGGAGGATTGTTGCCCTCTGCCTACTCTACAAGACATGCTCCTCATCGAAGACGAGTTCGACGCAGGAAAGCTCGAAGAGCTGGCCGAAAGTTTGCTCGCAGATATCACAGCAGACATGGAAACAAGCAATCGAACGCGCAATGAAACTTCTACCGAAGTTGCAAGCAGAGCAGAGCGATTGTCTGGACCAATGGTGGGGACCACAGCAAAGTGCGTGGAATCCAGCGAACATAGCGCAACACTCACACAAAGTAGCAGCTTAGAAACTCCTGATGACGTTACGCATGACAAAATACACCCACTGCACGCATTTACATTACAAAGTAAAAAAGATACTTATGACGACAAAGAAATTGCAGAGGCAGTACATAATGATATTAATATAGCTACAGCAACAGTAACAGCAACACCAGATACAGTATATGGTACATACGATGCTAAAAGTAATTCAATAACAATAGTCTTAGACGATGATGCCGTACCTGTTAGTGAAGCGGTAGAAGAAATTTATTGTGACGGTGTCAGTCCACCGTTATCCGATGATTGCATAAAATGCCCATCTCCTGCTGCTTCACCTTCACAAGTGTATCTCAACGTAGATTGTTCTGATGATGAAGATGATATGGATTTTGATCCTATATCAAAATTCCTGTGTCCAAGGCAGCCATTAATGTCACCGCTATCGAAATCTCCTGCACCATCATTGCATTCGGCAACATCAGACCATGGTTATGAATCTATAATAGGCTCTCCTACGCCTACCTTATTAGAACAGTTTGATACAAGATTAGAAGATTTTACATGGAATGGCAGTTTTAATGAGTTATTCCCCACACTAGTATAGACACTTAGTGTTTTTTTTTTATTTATAAATTATTTTCAATTTTTCTGAAAATTATTGTAGACATTTAAATTTTCAAATTGAAAAATATTTATCTCTTTAAATTGGTTGGCCAACCTACTGTTTAGTTTTAGCATCGTAAATTAATAACGAATATATTTAACTTTATACTTAAAGAATACGTTATGTTTAGAATAATGCTCAATAAGGCTATATTAATTGTAAATACTGTTAATGCTATATCATATATATTGTTAATGAAACATTTTTAAATTATGTATAATTTTTTTGTAATGTAAGTTATGTGCTCAAAATTTATTTAAAAAAAAATATATATATAAGGAGACACCTTAACGAAGATCTTTTATTTGATATAAAATATTATTAGAAGATAAACAACTATTATTAACGCAAGTATGTCCCATTTGTTCGCTCATATTAGAAAATTCTGTAGAATTGAAGATTATAAATCAATTGGCTCATGAGAATTGTGTAGAGAATTAGACCAAGCACAGGCTTAGTTGTATTGCCAGCGAAGTTAATAAAATAAATTTTAGTTGATTGATAATTCCAGATACTTTGTACACAGTATGTACAGCAATTTCAAACGAACTTCTGATACATTCGAAGAAAATGAATAACTTAGTGGCTTTATTTGTAAATCATACAATAAAATTGATTAACACAAAAATAATTTGAAACATTTATTATTATATACAAAAAAGTCGAACAATAGCACATTGAGTATACTATATAATTAAAAGTATATATTCTCATAATTAAAACTTATAAATATACAAATTTAAATTCTTATGTTTTTATATATTTTAAAATCCATTAAAGTATTTTATTTTTATTGATATATTTTATGCACTTATATTTAGTATTACGTTTACAATATGTAACATATAGTAAAAGAATTTATTTTATATTTAGGAGCTAGATTTTATGCTGAGTTTTTCAATATTTTTATAAACTTATTAAATATTAGAAGTTTGTATGCAAAGTACATAGATATTTCAGTATAGTTATTACAATTTTGGTGTGTGCCGTAAATATTAAACTAAGAACAATAAGTACTTGTTTTAATCTAAATAAATGGATATTAAAATAGTTTTTTCTTATGGTACATTTGTAATGTCATCATACTGAATGAGAGATATAAGTTTATATACAATTTCCTGCAAGTCTAAGCCACTCACTCAAACTTTTTCATAGAACATGGTTTACTTATATTAGCAAAAAAAAAAAAGAAAAATTTAATTAAATCTGACATTATAGTGCTTACAGTATATATATATATTTATATAACGGTTTTTCTGAGAAGAAAAAAGGAAACATCCCGTTAGATTTGCTAAGTTTTAATGCTTTTTATATTTTTGCTGAATCCCACACAGTGCCAAAAAAATGTATAAATTTTAGAAAAGTAAGTTTGAGTAAGTTTATTATAATTTAAATGACAATGCACTGTGCAATTTAATGGAATTATTTTAGTAGGTAGAGGACCTTACTGCGCCAAGGAATAAAGGCTTTTGATCGTCAAGCTTCGAAATGAGGGGTAAACATATACAAAATCGTTTAAAATGTTCTGCCAAGATGGTATGCAATATCATAAATTATGAATTGAAGCCCGAAAAGCGTGGTACAATAAATTTAGAGGACCGACACATAGTGCGCTTCAGCAAAACCAATCCTTTTGCGTCCTCTAGGCGGAGCTGAAGATGGAAGTATAACTCAGACTGGCTTGCTTGATATTTTTAAAAACGTAAATATAAAATGCATTTTTCATACATGGGAGCTGTTTTTGTTATTTCATATAAAATGTATTTTGAGTTTTATTTTAAAACGCGCATTTATGATATTACAGATGAAAGTTGTTAGAATGATAACTATATACTTAAATATGAGTTTAAATTTTTTATTACTTTTTTGCTTAAAAAATTCTGAAATAACTGTTATTTTCTCTGTTATTTCGGTGTACATGTGTATATGTAAATAAACTCAAATTGTATGGCACAGTAATAAAATTGTAGTTTATGCTGTAATATTAATTTAAAATTCGTAGTGACGCATATCTATGTATTTTAAAAGATACTATATATTTAAGTAATTTAAGTAATGCTTACTTACACAAAATGACATAGAAAATAAACAAGCAACATTTAATCAAGTGCACAACATATAGTCTTTAAAAACATGTAGTCTGTTATATAGAAAACTAAAAATAGTTTTATAAATTTCAATTTATAACTTAACTATTAATTTGTTATAGAAAAAACTAATAAGTCTTTCGAATGAATATGCCTAATTCTTAAAAATATAATTTCTAGTACTTACTTTCTATTCTTAAAAATAAATTTTTAAAAGGTCCTATTCCATCGATTAATAAACTCGCGGCACAAGTACATTTCGCACCTGACAACAGTAACGTACCCATGATGAATGATAACGAGCTGCATTACGTGAATGCACACGCTTAGTTCGGTGTATCAGTTGTACAATTAATAGCAATACGCATATTAATGGTGGCCACTTAAAATTCATAAAAATCGGTAAAGCCAAACCGATCAAAGCCAATATCTCACCTGTATAATTAGGTTGGCGTAAAGTTCCCCACAATTTGCCTAACAACAAACGACTACCCTGAAAAGTATGTATGGTATCTACACCATAAAATATATTGTTAGTAGGTTCTACTCTGTACTTATACTTGTACGCATTGCTCAAACGTTTCAATATTACTCCAGATATAAGCACACACAATGCAACATATGGTGACCATGTACAAACAATTTTCAGTTGTTGACCCGAGAAATATTTAGAAACAGCCGTAAGCAAATAAGGTGTGGTAGCGTAACGTAGTAGAAGTAAACAGCCAAAGCCTTCACCCTGCAATTCGAACGATGACGCCAAATGATGTTCGAAAATAATATTATCCAGTAGGTATATTAATATCAAAGCACACGTTAACAAAGAAACCGGATTTAAAGACAATTTTATTAAATAATAATCTATTATTTTCCACCAGTCATCAATGTGCCCAGGATATGAAGGGAGCGTAATGCTCTTATATAGAAAGCATTCAACGTAAAGTAAAGTAGTGATTACAGACATTCTGTAATAAACTTGCTTTAGGTCAATTACACCAAAACATTTTGGATTAACCTCACGTCCTTGAGCATAATCAATTAAACAATTACCAGTTTTGCCATAAGCATTCATTTGTATACGAGGATTTGCGTCTTTTGATGCACTCAAATAACTCCAAAATGCACTAATAAATGCATGCACGATTCCATATACTAAGAATTCTAAGTAGTGGTCCAAAATGAAATCTACTACAGCATATTTCTGGTATTCCAAGAAAGCAGCTACAATATTGATTACAATTGCTACTGGTAGTAAATTAAAATGATGTACGGTACTACCACGTTCAACTGATAAACGTACTTTTCTGCCAAATAGCGAAGCAGACAATATAAACATTGTGAAGAAGTATATTAAGTACGCGTACACAGCTTTCCAAGCAAAGAAATCTTTGAGCACATAATTTAAGTCTTCCAAGTTTTTAAAACCGATTGTTTTAAAAGTACACGTCTTCATACAAGTCCAAACTAAATAAACTACCAATGCCGGTACAGTTAACATTAATAATAATACACCAATCCAACCGCCAAACTCTCTGGGTGCATTTAAAATACGACATTTGGGAGATATTGTACTCGACGCAGTATAAATTTTAATCGGCTCAGTCACTACCTTCTCATCTTCATTATCTGAAAATTCTGCTTTTGATTCTTCATCCTCGTAAATGGAACGCGATATCGAACGACTGTAACGACTACCATCTTCTGTATTTGTAAATGTTGGGGTACGCGTAGCTTCACGACTTGGATTTCCAGCATTGCTAATAGATTTTGATACTGAGCGCCGTAATAAATTAGTTATCTTATTTATGTTCGATTCACTGGGTATGCTACCAGAACGTATTTCAATCGTTTCTTGTGAAGTAGAACTGTGCACGGAAGATGTAGATACTAGGGATTTCTTATTATTTGAAACTTCTGTACTATCGACAACTCGAGATATAGTTGTAGTTGTCTCCTCTTTAAAAATCGTTTGAGTCTAAAATTTAGAAATTAAAAATTTAGTATTTTATTACATATGTGCACATATGAATCTTATATGTAATATATACATATATATTCATACGTGTTTAGAATATACACATACCTCTTCTTCAATTGTAGGCGAAACAATGACTGTCGAAGTGACAGCAGAGGAGCCTAAAACTGTTGACCTTGGTCTTGATGAGCGGCGTACAGGAGACCGAGGTTTGAGCAACGGGGAAATGCGAGCACGAGTAGGAGATGCACGCCTCGAAGGTGATCCACGAGTAACACGCCTATTAGTTGTAGTTATGTTTGCAGAATTTAAGGCTGCAAGAGTAGGTCGACCCCGCTTTCTTCTTGTATCCATATTCTCAATTTTATATAATATATCTACACAATATAGTAAATTTATTTATTAAACTAAAATATGTATTGAAAAATGGTAACTATTTTCGCGCGTAAAGCGTCGATACCGCCATATGCGACACTGTACATTTTTTGTGAAAGACGCATTGCTCATATTTTGTAATTATAACAAGAAAAATACCTTTTTTTGATGTACACAATATCACTACGCACTAGTGTATATTTTTTAATTATTTTATTCACAAAATAAGCACTTATTTAACAGTAAAATCACTTATTTTTATTTATCAACAAACCAAACTCAATACTTATTAACATATACATTGACTGCGACGCCGACAAATAATTACACGAGGAAGAAAGGAATAGAAATATAACTATTAACTAATATAGTTTAGTGTTGCCACCATTTATTTCTTGCATTTTGTGATTTCACCTCATGGTTTAATTTTGAATCATGCTTTATACTACGTTCAAACAACCAAATTTTCTTAATTTCGTTAAAATGGAATTTAGCTAATTTCGAAAGTGTTCATACTGTCCCAAATTAAGGAAATCATATGTTTTTTGTTTACAAATCGAATGTTAAAAATCACATGCTCCAAACACTAATTGTATCTGGGAAATTTTAAAAGTTCATTATTATAACTATAGAAAATCAAATTTAGTAGTTTTATTAATTATAGTGGATTTCAAGTATGTGAATTATTATTTTTCAATCTTTTTTAAATTAATAACAGTTACAATTTTTTATCTATTATCAAATTTAAATATTTGCACTACCTTCAAAATATTTTTTCGGTTTTAAATAATTCAACTGTTTTTGAAAATAGATATCACTTTTTCACTATCTCAAGTTAACTTTTGCTTAAAATTTATCTTTCGCTTAGTTGCATTTGAAATCTTCCTTAATATCGTTCTAACCTTGAAATTGAATTTTGTATGGAAAAAACAACTTAATTTCGCTAAAACGAAGATGAAATTAAGATTTTTGCGAAACTAAGGTGTGTCTAAACAAAGTATTCAGCCTTTGTTTCAATGAAATTAAAGCATTATTTCTTAATTTCATTTTATCCTTACAACAACTTAATTTTGCTGAGGCATTTCGATTTGACAATGCATTTAAGTAAAATAACCTAAGCTTAGCAACTTCTTCCTATACGCTATATACTGCAAAAATATAGAGCCATGTTATGCACATTAATCATGGTCACGTCAATGAAGTAATTTTTGTTGACTTTCATATAAATTAAAAATTTAAGAATGAGCAATAGAAAGGATGATTCAATATGACTGCGCTGGTGTATCGTTTATAAAGGAGTTGAGCACCGAAGCACTTCGGTGCCGGTCGCCTCTTTAACCATAGCACAGCTCTGCTTTACTGCAGCATTTTTCTCTACAGCGAGTTTTTAATAGAAATTATTTTAGTTTAAGTTTTTGCATATATGTAGGTATAGTGGATTACATCTAAAGCTTGAGTTTGAGCTTATACTTAGAATCAATAGATTTATATTTTAGTTATAAACCTCCGTTTGCAATCAATCACTTACATATCACCGTATGACTTTCTTACTCGAAGTTATCCGAATTTATTTTGTTGTAATCGTCAGCCTTCATAAATATTCAATCTAATATAAAATAGGAAATTATATTTGCTTAACCCACAGATTCCAAAAATTGAAATCCTCTTTGTCCGAATGACATCTTATAACTCCTACAACATATTTATAACTTCAATAATGTTCCCATTTACATTTTAAAATTGTACATATCATTGATCTTCACTTGCTTTAAAAATTTATCATACTAGTTACTGTATCACATTTATAAAAAAAAACTTATTGGCTCCTCTAAGGCTCAAGCTACTTTAACATATATATTATGTACTTTAATCATTTTCCATTTATTCATATTATTAAAAAATGATAAAAATCAATCCTTATATCTAAGACAACAGAATATGTTTATTTTTTCTCCCAAATATTAGAATAATTTTAATATAATATGAATTTTTTATCATAAGCTTAAAAAATAACTCCAACATATTTATGTACCCAAGTTTTCTTACTACATTAATTATTGCAATGTTAAGTTGATTTTAATTTAAAGTAAAAACTTTATTGCTAATGAAACTGGTGATAAAAACATAATTGCAAAAACATATTTATGTTACAAACGCTGGGAATATATGTATGTATAGTTAGATTTCGTATTTTGCTCTTTATAATACTTGTTAAGAATTCAATAAATTCGTTCTAAGTGCATTGATAACACAGTAAAAAACACCGAATAACCTCGCTTAATTATTTAAAAAACTTTTAGGTTTTAGATGTGAAATTTTTTTTTATATAAAAATATTAATTTTCAGAAATTCAGGAGAATGAATAAGATTATGTAGTAGAATTTTTCAACTAATTATAAATTGAATTAAGCTAATGTATATCTCAAAATTTAATGTATATGTTATTTCAAAAAAAAAGTAAAATTTGGTTTTATCAGCTACCGCGACTTTCCATTCAATTGTAATTCCAAACATTGTAACGATAACAGTCCTTTGCGCACTAGTCTATAATTAATTAATGTATTCATATATATGTATATAAATGCATATATATACACCATACATATATATACTATTTTTTAAATATATATGGTTTAGTTACGATTTAGCCAAAATATCGCTTTTAAAACGAAATATGCCAAGCCAAGGCAATAAACAATTTTTTCACGCTGTAAACGCTGTTCATTGTTTATTTCAATATTAAGCACACGCCGATTTAGCTTAGCGAGTTGTCTACGCAAATATAATATTTCTTCATGTGGACTTAATTCGCCCATTGGAGTTCCTTCACGTTGACTTATAATAGTCGTATCGTTGTTATTGTAAGATTGTGGAGAACGTTTGCTACCGCCACCGGTTGTCAACTGCAATTTGAAATAATTCCTAATTAAACTTTTTGTTACGAATCCTTATATATAATTACAATTATTACGCATGTATTGATGGAAATAATTTAGTAAATAAAAAAGTTACTGAACATTGATAACAATAATACTTTGTTGTAATTAAATATTATTACCTGAGATACTGATTCAACTGAATTTGATTCGCGTATTTCAAATCCAACAGTTGCATGACCAACACCGTTAGCTTGTACATATCTTGGTGGGTGTGAATCCTCGTCATCATATAGATCAGTTCCTTCATAATCACCATCCTGATGAACTTTATGAGGCGAACTCTCCTCCGATGCTGACGGAAAATGATGGTCGTTAAGAGTTATTACACGAGGTGGAGTTTGTACGCGCACCAAACCGCTTGGAATTTTTGGAAGAATAGAATTTTCCAATTGTATTTCACGCGGTGTTGAACGTGTCTCTAAATGTTCATTGTGTCCAAGTACAACAATACGATCAGGCACACTCATGTCGATTTTATCGTGATAATTCCACGAGTTGATTAAACCATTTTGATTTGATAACAACAAATCTTCGTCAGAAAATTCACCAGTCGCTTTGATGCGTTTGGGTACACGCATTTTATCATTTATTTCATGGGCAAATTTCGCTTCATTATAAATATCGTCGTCAATACCATTGAACATTGGTGTGGGTGATTGAGCAGTCATCGTGCCTGTTTTTTTAGTAAATATTTGAAAATCAAAATTACTATTGTAATTTGAATTTATTTCAATTTTGTTTTCCTTTGTAATGTCAATGTCCTTGTTGTGTTAAAATCTTGCTATTTGCCAGTTTTTCTGCGACTATTTTTTTACATTACGAAAGGAAAACAAAAAATTTAGTCACAAACACGAAAGAGACATTTTTAGTTTTAACATTTTGTTGTTTAAACAGAAAACAATATAAAAAAATTAACAAAAAACTTAGATATATACTTACATAAATAACAATTTTTTCAATAAATACTATATTTCAAAATTTCTGCTCCCTTACCAGAAGAAATTCTTTTTATTGGCAGCTGTCTTTTGTCTATCAAATGCAAAACATTCTAAAAGAAAATTCAAAAGACATGGTTGTATTTTATGTTTTTATTTTGTGATATAATTGATTTATAGCTCACCTTATTTTTCAAATGACTTGTGTAAATTAAAAAAAATTTGTTATCATTGAAAATTAATGTAATTCTGTATTTAAACTGACAATTATTGAACCCTTATTAGTATATTTTTGAATGACTTTTGTGATTCAATTACGATTTTCAGAGCGACAAGAATTAAAAATGATTTTAATAAAATCAATTCACTATATATCGATATAGATTGTTACTCGAGATATCAGTATAAAATAAAACAGTTGTATATTTTTACATAGATTATTCTAAAGAAGATTAAGAAAAGAAACTGAGTTACTCGAAAAATAGTGTAAGATATCCCTTCAATTATCAATATATAGTCGAAATTCTGTGTGAGATAAAGATATTACGCAGTAAAAAATAAATGGCCCAATATAACATAACACATGCATAACAAACAATTCAACAAATTTTATAAAGCATTTAATAATATAAATATTATAAAAGCACACATTAAGGCCGTATGCGAGTTCGAGTAAATTGATGGCAAATGCAGGAAATAGTAAATTATGTCGGTATGGCAGCAAATGTTGGTATTTACCAGAATTTCGAATAAGGTAAATTAGACAAAAATTAGGTAAATTTAGTGTTACTATTGCGAAAATTTTATAAGATTTTTAATATATAAATAAATTTGAAAATTTTTAATCAAAAATAATAAATAAGTGCAATAAATAAATAAATAAATATTTTACATAAGTGCTGCTCAAAACATCCCTACAAAATTTTAATTTACTTTACCTCAATTTACTCAAACTCGCAAACGGCCTAAAATGTATATAAACTTTGACTTTCATATCATTGAAAAAAAAAAGAAATATTTGCAATAGCTCATTACAATTATTTACATTAGTATGGTATCTCTGAATTATTTTCCACCACCATTGTGTTTGTGTTCAACGAGTTGATTTTAAATTTCCTTTTTCACTGATGCAAATATTTAGAGTTGCCAAATGTGCAATTAAACATGCATACATCGAAATTTAGAGAACTGTGACACCTTTCTGCAAGTCAAACTCGAGCTCACTCTAGAATATGTAATTTTAGGTCGTGTGCGAGTTAGACTAAGTTGCGTTCTAAATGAGGGATATTTTAAGTTGTGTCGATAATGTATTGATGTGTCGATACGTGTTGATAAATGGCAAAATGTGTGCAGTGCAAAAAATCCCAAAAAATCTCCCATTTGGTTTAGCATCAACTTAGCCTAACTCGCACACAACCTTAGTTTGATTGAAAATGATCAATTTAGAACGTTACAAATATTTTTTTTAGAAACCTTTAAAGCCAACATGTGTAGAAGGTACAATATGGGCCATGTTATGTAGACACCCCGCAAAAATGTACTGAAATAGTAAATAGAAGAAATTGGCAATTGTAATATGAATCTCTTTATAAGACCCCAATTGTCGTATAAATATATGTATAAGATGACACTCAATGTTGTTAAATACTCTGTTGTATGTAATAAAGTAGAAGAGGAGGAACTTAAGCAATTGTTAATAGTTATATTATCATACAACTATTATAAACAAAACAGGCGCAAAAAAAATAAAAAGTTAAAAAGAAAAATACGTTGCAAAATAAATAATAATATAATAAAAAATTTTTACATATACAAAAGTTTTATTTTTGTTTTATTTATGTCTTACAAAACTGTATATATATTCATTATTCATTGAATTACATATATTATTTTAACAATCAATATTAAATTTATTATATAATGTACCATAAATAAATTTAATAAAATTTACTTGAAGCGTTTCTTCCACTTCAATTTCGTGGTGAAATTGTATTTTGTACTATACCACAAGAAAGGTTCAAATTTTGTGTTTTGTAAATTCACAACTAGTAGTTATTTTTTACTCGATGAAATCGATGTTTGCTCACTTCTTGCATTCACAAGTACAGTTCTTGTCTTACGCTCGTATTGAGAAGTTCGGTTTCGTGTTCGTAAAAGAAAGTCTACAGCTTTAGGCGTTTAAATTTAGTCACGTTAATAAAACGTTTTAAGGTAAATTTATAAAATATAAATAAGTTTAACAAAAATTATGTATTACATTAAGAATTTGAAAAAAAAAGTGTTTTTTATGTAAATTAATGACGCAGTGTGTACCTTATTATTTTTTATATATTATTTATAATTTACAAAAAAAAACTTGCTTCATTGTAATAAAAGTAAAGTTAACAATAGTTGATTGAATTGAGATAACATGAGTTTTTAATTTGTGTAAAATCATAAAGCGTTTGAATTTATGAATATATAATAACGAAACGCCGGCTGCCATATTGATTTACCATTAAAGCAGCTTGGGTACATAAAATGTGTAATTCTCAATCGTAGTGCTTTTTTTTGTTTCTTTTTTAATCATAAATTATTTAAATTTAAGAAATATGTTAATATCGATTTGTGCTAATGCTCTGAAAATGTGCTTAAAATATTGTGGTTTAGCGTCACTATTTTGAATAAAGTTTTGGCGCCATTTTAAAAGTGAATGATTCCATTAATGCTGAACAAAATGACGCCAAGTTTAATTTATCGAATTGTTAAAATATAAACATTTTGCACAAGTATTGAAACAAACGTTTAGAAAATATTTCGCAAATAGATTCATTTCATAAAATATTCAATTTTTTATTAGTTTGACGGTTCTTTTAAAATATTTGTCAGATTACAGATAAATGTGAATGTAAAGTATACTACGCAAACTCAAATTTTCTAATAAAGACAATTTTTTTTAGATTGTTAGTTTTATAAAAAATATCAATAAAAATGAAGGGTTTTTTTTTATTATTATTGTAATTAATATCATTAAATTTGTGTTATTTATAAAGTGTTAAAAACTAATCTAAGTATAAAGGCAATATTTTTAATTTGAAAATGTAGCTAAATAGCTTTAGGTACATTACATATATAATTTTTTTTTTTGTCTTTTGTCTTTTTGTGTTCTTCCTATTACACCTTTATCCTTGTTCATTTTATTTTGTTTTATTTTTTTTATTGTCAGCTTTCCTTTAAATGTGAAGTAGATAACCTTTTCTACCTACTATTTTAATTCAGTATTATAACCATCTCTTTCTAACATCAAAACTGCAATAGTGGTTGATGTGCCTAGCATCTGCCTTTTTGCGCCATCGCTTCATTACTTGCTTCCTGTGTATACTGCGATTTATGTTTTGTACAGTTGAAATTAGAAGTTTAACGAAATAGGTTGGTCAGAATAAATATATAGTTAATTTTTATAAGTTATTACATTTTGTGAATAAATAAGAAAATATATCTGATATCTTAAAGTGTTAATTTTTTACTCGTGAAAATATATATATTCATTAATTTCTGCTACGATGCATGGCTTGGCTTGGTTTTTGTTTAAAATTGGCGCCTTTTTGTTTCGTTCCTTTCATGAGCAATAAATATGTTTAGTCTTAAATTGTAAACAATTCTTACTTCATATAGCTAAATATTTATTTATATGTATCCATTTTACATAATTCTAATTTATAAAATCTTGATTTGATGACTAATTTTTGTTTTCCTCGTTTTTTTTTCTTTTATTATAGTTATAATCGTACACAAATTATCAACACTAAAGTAATCAATATGTCAGATAAACCTAAGCGTCCTCTCTCAGCATACATGCTGTGGTTAAACAGTGCTCGCGATCAGATCAAGCGAGAAAACCCAGGTATTAAAGTTACAGAAGTTGCTAAGAAGGGTGGAGAGCTGTGGCGTGCAATGAAGGATAAATCGGTATGTGCAAATATAATATAAATAATTGTTGAGCAGATGTTCTAATATATAATGATATGTTCATAGGAATGGGAAGCAAAGGCGGCCAAAGCTAAAGAAGATTATGAAGATGCAGTTAAAGAATTTGAAGCAAATGGTGGTGGTGCTGCCAACGGTGGAGGTAAAAAGCGTGGTAAAGCTGTAAAGAAGCCGGCAAAGAAGAGCAAAAAGGCTGCATCAGAGGATGACGAGGATGAGGATGAGAGCGAATAAATATTTTAAATTTTAACTTTTTTTAGTTATAAAATAAAAATTGCATTTATACATAAAAACATGTTAAAAACTGTAAAAAAAGATTTAAAAAAATATTCGAATAATTAAACAAGTATAGAGATTAAATTTAACATGTTCGAGTTAAGTCGTTCAAAATAAATTACATAAATAAATATAAAATGGAAATTTATTGTAGGTAAAAGTAGATTGATTGGGTTACATAGAAACTAAAGATAAATATCTCTATATTTAATATTCATAATGCTGTGTAATTGCGTTTATCTAATTCAAGTAACACATATGAATTTAAAGAATAGATATTGGAATTATTGTTCAGCTAATAATATTTAGTTAAAATATTAAAACAAAAATAAATATTTAGTGCTGAAAATATTACACTTAGTGGATGTTAACAATAGGTTGATATGATATGGAAGTATTCGTATTTTTCACAAACTTTACAAATTAATAAATTTTAACAAATATATTGGTTTTTCACAATTTTAACGAACAAAGTTAATATGTGCTTGACAAAAGGATGGATTTTTATAAAAACTACATACAATTTATTTTAAATATTAAATGAGTAATTTTATACAAAATCAAAGAATTCTCTAATGTCTTGTAAATCAAATCAATATTTCGTATTTAATAAATAATTCAATAGTACAAATTATGAAAATAAACGGCTCAGCGTAGCTGAATGTTTTTAATATATGCATATAAATACTCTTAAATTTTCTTTAATATAGTTCATACAATTTTATAGCATAAGAACTATTTAAATAAACAACGTAATTTTTATAAAGTATTAATGCATCGTTTAATTTTTTAATATAAAATTCGATTTTATATAATATTAAATGATACAGTGTGAAAACAAATCTCCACTATTGTATTTTGATAAATTTTTATTTTAATGATGGCAGACAAAATAGGTGATATCTACTATAAATGCTCATTTCTAGATCAGAATAGCCAATAGCCTTATGGTCAAATATCAACGCGATTCCGAGCAAGTTATCAAAAAGGTAGGAGATCCTTCAGCTGATCCAAAGAATTTAATAATCTTACACAATAATTGGGTGAAAATTTTTATTTTAATGATGGCAGACAAAATACTCATTTCTTGATCTGAATAGCCAATAGTCATATTGTCAAATATCAACAAGTTTCCGAGCGAGTTATCAAAAAAGTAGATACATAGAACTTAATAACCTTACGTAATAATTGAAAGAAAATAGTAGTTTTATAGAGAGATTTCCAAACTATCTTTTTATCAAAATACATCCGACATAGACCACTCTATAGTATTTCTTTATAAACAAACTCAGTTAACGTAATAATTCTTTGGTTAAACTTATAACGATAAATATAATATAACATAATTCATGTGATTTGTAGGTCAAATGAAAGCATCATCTAATGATAGTGTACATATAAACTTTAATAAATGTTGACATCATTCCGAAGCTTTAAATTTACAAAAAACAATTAGAATCGACGACCATATAATAAAACTTATACGTATTATTTGATATAATGATCGCTTTAATACGGAAAGAACTATATAGTATCAAAACCAACCATACATGCGATATTTTATTTACATAAAAATAGTAAATATTATACATAAACAAAATCCAACTGGACAGAAGCATAACACTGGAACGGATATCTTAATCATAACCTTGCTATATTATCCCATTGTCAGTATGACTCGTGGAAATAGAAAAACTAAACTAAAAGTTATATTCAGCATGTTAAATAGACAAAGAACCAGTAACAAGATAACTTTACTAAAGATGAGATTTAAATGGTTGATTAATTACATCCAAGGGTGACATAATTACAGTTCTTCTAATTTTGGAAATCATTGTTTAAGTGTCCTATAGCATATTTCAATAAATATCCAATTAATTAATACCCCACCCCATTGACGGTGTGTGACTTTTGAATGGGGATAAAGGTTAGTTTTTAAATATTTTTACTTTGCGTTCACTACAATCCCAAACATTTTTCCCAATAACTATTTCGTTTCTGTCTTTGCCTTCATTGAGATGGTTTGTAATCTCACCGCCAGAGACAGTGAAAATGACCAGGATTAACTAGAAAGGAAATTCATAATGTCGCTCTAGAAATATGCGACCAATTTTTGCATATTGTCGGTAGAAGATCAGAATATGTTAACAACGCTTGCAAGCTGTTTGTGGGGTGTTCATAGAACTCGTTTGTAGAGCACTTACAAAGCAATACGGCTGGTTATTCAACTTTAGTACTTACTAGTCCTTTAGCTCGGCGATCTGGACTGGAATCATAATTAGGTTCGAAATTATGATGGTTCATTATTTAAATTAGTTATTATTTATTATAGTTATTATCGTATATGTAATTGGAATCAAAAATTAATCTTATCAAAAAGGACAACCATTTACTATCTAACTGGGCGACTACACTGATTAGACTTTGGTAAGATTTTTTATATTTAAATGTGCGCAATATTTTTGAATTTCGTCTGTAAACTTAAATTTACGTTGCTGAAAAAGTGAAGTGTGTGCAAAATTCATGCCAACAATAAAGTTAGGGAAGACACAGCAATTTATCTTTAAATTTCATACAGATGAGCATTCAACAGCCCTGTGGCTAATTACTGTCACAACAATAATAATAGCAAGCAAGTTGTTACTCCTCCACGTAATGCTATATGTAGAACGAGTATAAAGTATATCGGTTCTTATTCACTGCAACCAATAAGTTCAATTCGTGTTAACCTCAGAAATCAATTTTTTAAAGTATTTCATAGTTATAAAAAAACTACATTACTGTGTTATTCTATTTTCTCATATTAATAATACTCTATTTTTTACTTATTAATATTAAAGATTGGTCCAAACCAAAGTGTCATTAATAACAGCTAATGTAGAATATGAGTAGCAAAAATTAGAAAATATCAAGCAAAGTATTTGTTTTAATATATAATTTAAGTTTATTTATATTCAGAGCTACATTTACAAACTTTTTTGTGTAGAAGTTTTTTATATTTCGTTCAAAATAAACGTTGTTCTTCTTAAGTTTCACAACATTAAGACTATAAAGATATTTTAAAACTTTTCTCATAAAATTGTTGTTTTTTTTTCTTATTTAAAATTATTTAAAGTGTGGATTTGTGTAAGGATTTTATAATGTAAGTCGTGTTTTTATACTTTACATTTTAATTACTATTAATTAAACTTTTTTTTAAATTTTTTATGTTTTTTATTAGCTTAAGTTTTATACATATTTTTGTATGTATTAATTTACATTCTATTATAAAAAGAAAATACAATTTTGTATTATTATTTTTTTAAAATAATAATAAAACCTACACTTTTTAACCTGTTCGGAGTTAAGTTGTTATCGGTGTCTCAACAATTGGCATAATTGGTTAAAACACTTGCCACATGTGTAGATATCAAGTTATATTAAAGAAGTTAAAAGTTGAAAAGCCAGCAATTAGATTTAACATTATAAATATTTTCTATTGTTTTTTTTTTTGATTTTTGTTTTTGTCAATTTTTTTTTTGAGTTTTTATTACATGAATGTAAGTCTTAAATTAATTTACTTAAATGTTTTAACTTAAGTTTTCTGATGTTATATTTTAATAGAGAAGTTTACTCGCTATCCTCCTCTTCTTCCTCTTCAGAAGTCTCTTTCTTCTTTGATTTCTTGACTGGCTTGGCTCCCTTGCTCTTACGCTTCTTACCAGCACCTGTATCGGTACCACCATTTGCTTCATATTCCTTAACTGCTTTGTTGTAATCTTCCTTCATTTTAATAGCCTTTTGTTCCCATTCCTATAAAAATTAATGGAATATATATAAAATATGATTAAACAAAATTTATCAACAGTATTTAATATTTTTTCTTTGTAATCATAGAATATTGATTAATAATATTATCTTCCGTTGCTGTCAAATTTGTGCCTGTCTTATGGTATTTTATTTATGTGTATAAAGTGTGTTTATCTTACATTTCCACACTATCTATTAGCCAGCCTATAATGAGTTAAGATATATTGCTAGAAACCGAGATTTGTGGAAATCTTATGTTAAATTCTTAAGTTCTTAATTTACAACTTTAATGTAATGCTAGAACATGACAATAATAAATATTAGCCTATACTACCAATAAATATTACTTTGCTAGGTATAAAACAGAATATGGGTGTAAAAATATTGAACAACTCTCTTAGCTTTTTAACTTAATGTGCATACATTTTATTTACATATTGTAAAAATATATGTATATTATAGTATATTTAGTGTAATTATTTAATTGTTTTGAGTACAGTTTTTACTATTTTTAACGGTTTTTAAATAAACACAGTTTTTAATTTTTTAAAAATAGTTTTTAGTTTTTAAAAACATCGATGTTTCGTCAGATTTATTTATCAGAGAGCAGAGTTGGAGAGATGCGATAAAGAAGTTAAAAAAACTTCGAAATATCAATTTTAATTTAAGAAAGAATTATATAAATAAATATATATTTTTTAAACAGTTTTTTTATTTGATAAATAAAATAAAACCATTTCTCACTTATAGCCTAATTATTATGAATTAATCTATGGCTAATTATGTTTTTTATTTGGTACTTAAACTAAACTAAAACTGATATTTTAATTTGCTACTTACGCTTTTATCCTTCATTGCACGCCATAGTTCACCACCCTTTTTAGCAATATCTGTTACCTTACTGCCAGGATTGTCTTTTTTAATTTGTTCGCGGTTCTCATTAAGCCATAACATATAGGCAGATAGGGGGCGCTTTGGACGTTCTCCACTCATGTTTAATAATTTAGTTTTCTTTTACTGAAAATAAAAATAAAATTAACATTTATAAATATTTGCACTTTTTCCAGCGATTATTAATTCTTACGACTAAAATTATATATAAAAAAAAAAAAAACTATTATAACTTGTATTTTCCATTGTATATAATTAATCAAAAATTATATATTAATCAAATATAGATTATAAGATCGAGTGCGTGTTGGAATTTAAAAGATTTTCGATTAAGCTATTATATTTGCCAGTATTTGTGTTCTACACTTCGAACGGATATGTTTAGCTCAGCAGGATATTTGAAAATGACTAGGAAAGAAAAGTGTGAATCGAGGGATTTGATGATTTAGAAATTTTGCGGAGCTAGAAAGTGAGCCGGAATTTATTTAGCTTGTGTGCTGCTATATAAACGTTGATCTATTATATTAAATATAAGAACTTATTTCGCAATGTGCAAATAATTTTCCTATCTCCAAATGATAGTTATATTAAAAAATGGTTGGTAATAATATATATTCCGAAAAAGTAATACAAGATTAATTTCTAATGTAGTTGCAGAATATTTGAATATATTTGTATGCACATACGTAAGTAGTTTGTGCTTATTATAGGAAAGTTTATATACTAACGTATGTACTTCTTAAGTAAATACTATTCTAATTTATACAATTAATTACATTTATATTTTGTGTATATATTTTATGCACTTACATATAAGTATGTATGTGTGTGATATTACATGTTAAAATATATATTACAGACAGGATGATGGTAACTTATGTATTAATATGTACATATTTATTTGACCATCCAAGTACAGTTGTTGCAAAAACGCAAATTTGTCACTCATTAATTTTCATTTAAATATCAATACTATATACTCATGTATGTGTTGTACATTTTTTATGTAATCAATAACTGTATACATGTATGTTTGTGCTGCACATTACTTCAATAAGTAAACGTTCCTAAATATATGTCAATTAATTACATTTGTATATCATAATTTCAAATTATTGTTGTGTTAATTAGTTAGCTATTGAACTGTATATACTGAAATATATATAATTAAAATTGTAAATATTTTATATCTATATAAAATTTATTTAAATATAATTTTATATACCATACAAATATTATGAAAACATATAATATTACACAATTAACATACATAAATGCTTATGTAAATATTTTAAAAATATTCTTTAATGCAATGGTGAAGTTTGGTAAATGCTGCCCCATTTGGTACTATAGTTGCATTTCCTAACCATATAAAATGCGTCATTATTATAATAATAATAACAAGAAAAGAAAAAAAGTTTCACGTACGTCCTCTCTTACTTGGTTAAAAACTATAATTAATTTACGAATAAAGGGTGCTTCAATCTATGACTAAAAATTGACAAAGCTTATAGTTCTATATTGTATCTGTCATAAGTTATAAGTTCATACAGTGAAAATGTCCTTATTGTTGTTTTCGATGTACATAATTATAAGAATTCTTTTCCGAAAATCAATATTTAAAATCAAGTAAAAAAAAATCTAGTACACTCCGCCGATTTTGAACTTACATACATACATACTTGCACATAGTTATTGCACAACATAGAATACCTATAATAACAGACCATTTAGTCATATTGGCAATAAAATATTATTGACGATGTTGGGCACTTGGTGGTAAAAATTACTATCAAATAGACTCTAAAAAATAATGCTGCTCAGGTGCATATACACACAATAGCTCGATGTTGTTGTTGTATGTCACTAATTGCTTTTGCCTCAGTAGCAGTCAAAACAAACAATAAACAAGTAATGTAATTATATTCAAAAAAAAAAAAGCAATTAATAACTGTAATAATATGATATATAAGAGGTTAACATCTTTAGAAAAAAAAAAAAATAGGCGCTTTCAAATCTTCAATTATATTAGATCACCCTATGGTCGCAAATAAAGCTAGAACTACAGCCAATTACAAAGGAAATTTACAAGTTCTAAATGTGTGTTGATGAACTCAAACGAGAAAGCACAATTATGAAATTGAACTGTAAAAAACATGCGACGGCACAAATATAATAACCAAATAAGTGAATTGAAATATACATTGTAGACAGATAGTTTAAAAAGTAGTTTGAGGAAAACTGATTCAAGTATGCGTAGTTACCGAAAAAAAAGTTAGCTTATAAATAACAAATATAAAAATTATATATTTTTTTTACTTAGCATCAACTCGATGCAACATAATTTCCATTTTCTCTCGCTTCTGTGCTATTTTCAGCTAGAACAGTCAGTAGTCAGTGTAGGCACAAAATTGTGTTTATCTACTATACACTGACACCTATTACCTTCTTTACCCACACTCATTATATGATGAATAAACCAAATAATAGCCAGTGTTGGTGAGTTGTTTCAAGTGTTGCGCTTTGCTTTAAAGTGGGTGGTGAATAAAAGATGCGAAGTTGACAGGTTGAATATGTAGTCTCTGTACTATACGTATTTTATAAAAGTAACGAGTACATACATACATATAACTTTACATTACCGTTAAACAGCAGAAAATGATGTGTTGAGTTGAAAAAAAAAAAAATAAATAAAAAAAATGAGGTATAAAATTGGACAAGCACCTAAACACCACCAATTTACCACCTACATTGCTATGTTACTGTTTGAACTCACTTAGGGGTAGTTGACGCAGTTGCTTGCTCATTTTGTAGTACAACAGATCCGTGCTCCTTGGTTTATGTAACATTTCTTTTGTATGAGTATTTGGACGCGCATACTTTATTAACTGGGGTAAAATGAGTATAAGCATAAAAATAATTGACAAAACATTCCATACATCAAGAACAAACTACTAATATCATTTTATATTGTCAACTAAATTAAGCAAAGTTAGTTTAATTTTGTGTTAATTTATAACATTAAATATATATCGTTTACTAAATTAAAAACAAATATTTTATAAAATTACAAGAGAAAAAATTTTTAATTTTTATAGCTTATATACATTGAAATACAGCCCACGCACACTTGAGAGTAGGCATATGTAAGTTTGTACAGTAAAGTCACAAATACAACAAATACAATTGCAAAGTCAATTTGGGGTCGTTTGACATGGCGTCTTGTTTTTATGACAAGGACTTGCTAGCACTATTTTAATTTTGAGCTTGTGCGCACTGCCAGCATTTTGGGGTAGATACTTTTGCAGGGATTTGCGCAGTGGACAATATACGTACTGAAATAATTATTATCAAGAAATATTAACACTGTAACAATTCCCATACAATCCAATCTCATACAATTTATGAATATATTTTGTTTTTTAAAAAGCAAAATTAATTGATATTTTTAATTTTTTTAAAGCAAAGGAATATTTTTTTATTTTAAATAAATTTTTTTGTAATAGCACCACTAAAAAAAATTTTATAATTTAGTACAGTGATGGCTAGAAACAGAAGCAAAATCGAAACAGTTGATATTGAAGAACATAAACAATTTCTTTTAACTCCTACAAATATTATTTTTATATCATATGATACGATATTATGACTTATTAAATAAATTTATAATTTTTGTTTCAAACTATTTATACTGAAATTAAAACTGAAAACTGAACATTAAAAAAGAGAAGACTAATTTAAATGATATGTAGATTTAACCAATTTTTATTATTGTTTTTAATAATTTATTGTTTTATATAACCAAAACGAATGAGTTCTTTAAATAAAATGTGACTGTTTCCGAAAGTAATATTAAATAATATAGAAAATGTACCTTTAATATAAGATATACTTAAATGAAACCCACACTAGAAGTTGCTACTTATGGTATAAATATTATCATATTATCAATGAAAATTTATATAGTTGAGTGTATGAAAATTTTATTAATGGTTTAATCAAAAAAAAAAAAACTTTTAAAAATCAACTAAATGCGCCTTTGTTCTAGGTCTATTTGTTCATCAGATGTGTAATGTAGTTGTGTAATTCAATATAATAAATAAATATTATATTCAAAGAAAAGTTAATATTTTCGAACAAATTGAGTAAGAAATAGATTTGATTTCATGTAAAAATGTTTTTATCACATTTTACAACAAACATTGTTTTTGTTAACTTCAAACAAAAAAAAATATGTCAATTAAATAAATAAGCAGTAGTAAATAATATTAGGACTCAACTGAGGCTTTATCTTTTTTTATTTCTCATTGCGCATTTAGCTAAAAACTCATAAGTTGGCCATCACTGCCATAACAGAGACAACAAAATTTTAAATTTTTTGTCGCATTTATACTTAACTAAAAAAATACAATATAACAAATCTTATAAGAAAAAAATATTTATACATACAGATGTATAATACAATAAACAAAACCAAAATGTGAATAATTGTTTGACATTAAAATGAAAATCAGATATTAGCAATTAAAAAAAAAAAAGCCTTAATAAAAGCAAATACTTTTTAGAAATCCGTATAAATTTTTCAGAAAAATTTAGATTGTGTCTAATTCTAAATTTAAGAAAATTTTTTAAACACATTATACATTTTTTCCAACATTATTTTGAGACGCACTGTACAAGCAGCCATATTTTTTTACAAAAACAACTGAACTTTTATGTTCGGGTTTAGTTATCGGCAAGCAACGAAGCTGTTTGGTCGTTGTTGATATGGTACGACGTGCAGGCGCGTGAATATGTCGCTGAAGAATGAGACATCATACTTTGAAATTGTAAAAATACTACTTGAATTTCTAAGTGCAAAATGAACACACAAAATAATCTAAAAAGTTAATATATCTTTTTTTTTTTTTTTTGGTAAACATTAATAACGGTACTGCAATAATGTAAATAAGAATTGGGAAAACTATGGATAATATCAATAAAAATACGTTTATGAAATAAAGAACGAAAGATAAAAGAAAAAAAATGTATAAAGCAATAACAAACAATACGATAGAGTCAATGACAGTGCATATCAACGAATATTTTGCATTAGTGAAATGCGAAGTTCCATTTATAAATTTTTTGGCGCCATTTTTTTGACTAAGCATCGTGCTAAAAGAAAATTCGGAATATCTTTATATACATCAAAAAAAAAGCCTTTATTTCCAATTTTTAGTCATATAAATGTATTAAAATTAGAAATCCATTTTAACCTGTTTTGTAAATTTATATAATAAAGCTAGAAGAAATGGTTCACCATCGTATTAAAATACTGTGCTTTAACAAATTAAATTGTTGTTAAAACACATTTATTAATAAACTGAAGTTGTTAAAATCAAAGATTATAGACACATTATTTTTGCGCCAACATGTCGCTTAAACGTACAGTAGTGGCTAATAAATAATTTTATATCTGATTTTTAAAGGTTAAGATTGCCGCAGTTTATTTTAAACAGAACGTACAGTCCAGAATTTTGACACATTTTTGCACTTAATGAAAGTATTTAAACTTATTTTCGAAATTTAACAGATATACAGTATTTCTTTTTAAAGTACAATAACTTTCAAAATTACTTTTCTTTTTTAAATGAAATCAATTATGGTAAAAAAAAGAGCACACATATGCTTTTTAGCTAAACTTCCAAAAATATTTTTTGTGTAGGTTTATTTATTTTTTTTTTTTTTCAAATAAAAATCGTCAAATTTCACTTTATTAACTTATTTAATGAATATGTTTTCTCAAAGCACACATTTATTTTATTCATAAAGATTACGAAAATAAAAAAATATATTGCTTAAACGAGTTCAATTATTTTAACTTACACTGTACAAAATAACGCACGAAACAATCTTATATTAATGATGCTTTACCAGAAATATACTTGTGTAAAACTCTTGGTTTTGCTAAATATTTGTACGGAACTCAACTGAACGCCACTCGCTTGCTTAAAAAGTTAACCATAGAATGAACTGGCTGTACGTACAAATACGAGCAAAGGCAAAGCATAGTGAATTGAATTTCGTACGTACCACGAGGGTACGAAATGTATTCGTCATATAAAGCAGCCATACTGAAGCAGCAAATGTGTATATTTGTATATGAAAAATTTTTATATAGCGGGGTAAGCAAGTACAGTGGTGTCCAATAAAATAAGACAAAATATCAAAAAAAAAAAACAACACCATATAAAATATGCGTTTTTTAATTAAATACTCTCATTCATATATTAATATATATGTACATGAAATTAAATATTATTATTATTTAATTATTAGAAAATACAGTCTTTGATTGCTGGTTAAAGATTTTGTTCTTTATCAGAATTAGTACACACTACACTATCGCTTACATTTCTGTTTTCTCAATATTTTCTAGCTTCTTCTTCAGTTGCCCGCCACCTCCCGAAATGCAGTAAAAACGAACGAAAGTTTATGCTTCCCCTCTACCCTACAACGCTCTATTTCCAATAGTCTCCTCTCATTCCGTACCTTTCTTACAGCACCATTACTGATACCAATATTATAAGCAGAAAGTTACTATTTTATGAAACTTCGTTTTAAAAATGGCGTTATTTAACAAAAATGTGTACAAAAATATAAATTCTCATTTTAAACTTTCTGTTTTATGCTTAAATATCATATTTTATTATATTTCATTTTAGTATTAATATATTTCTGTGTATTGAATAATCACCATGTCTGCCAACTCAATGTGTATTCAACACCCTCCTTTACCTTTTTTTTCTTAATATTTTACGCCGTAATTAACAATTTTATGTTTTAAACAATTGAAAATATATTATAAATTTAATAAAAATATTTTAAAAAATAACCGTCACTTCATTTTATGTTTTAGTTATAGAAAATCGAAGAAAACGCGCGCTTAATTTTCAATATAAAATTTTGTACTCGTATGTGCTACGAACGAATAGTCAAGCAGCCATGTTGTTAAGTTAAAGTGATTTTTATATGAAATTCACGATAAAATAGGTCGTTTTCTTTCGAAATTTTTATATAATAAAACGCCACAGATTTTTGTAGTTTCGTTAAAAAAAAGTATTTGGAAATATAACTAATAGATTGTAGAAGAACAATTTTGACTTACCTGAATAAAGAATATGCAAAAATTAATTATAATTTTCGAACTAAAACTTATTTTTCACTAGCACGTACGCTTTGAACGAAAAGTCACAATGTTTTAATGTTTTCAGGCAAGAATATTTTTCTATATGAATTTTTGTACGACTGAAAGCAATAAGAGAGTCAAACACGCACACACAAACATTGGTGCGGCGTTATTTTGCATGCAGCATTGTTGTTGGTACTGGTTCATTTTCGTATTGAATGAACAACGAGTAAAAAAGCAGGCAACAGTATACGTGGAGTAAAATCTATAGTAGCTTCATACTGTATATACGTTGTAGGAAGTAAAGCAATACACAGTGCAAACAGAAGGAAAACACTTCAAAATTTTGTTAAAACTGAAGGCAGTTGTAGGGTATTTGTAGATATCAGTACCAAAAATTTTCATATTAAATTATGTTAAATATCTGATTTAAAATGAAATATTTTGTTAATTTTATAACAAAGTGTTTTTGTAATATATAAATGATATTTCGTAACAATATCAATAAACTGTAAATAGTTTAACATATTGTTATAATTTTTGCGTATGCCAATTTAATTGTATTTGATCAAGGATATCAATTCAAATACTTTTAAATATAAAAACTAAAATATAAACTTTCATCATTAATATAAAATTTCCGAAACGTAAATAAAGAATCCTATTTTAATTATTTGAATATATAATATATATACACATTGATTGAATTTTTCAGTATTTGTTTTGAGGTAGGTCAGCGTTTAAATAAATATGATAGAATAGAACAATATACAAACGTTTTAAGCTTAAATGGTTTAAGTATATATTATTGAGAAAATGTGTAATATATTTTTTAAATTTTTTTTTATATATTCTTATTATAAAAATTTTATTATATATGTGTATATTGTTAAAAGTATTACTTCTATAAGCTATATGTTATTTTGAATTCCTAAAATTGTTTATCCTATAAAATATAGAAATATATGCAAATTGGGTTTGTTGTATAGCAAATGTTAAACTAAACATAACTAATTTGGGAATAATTGCGTCGTCTTAGCGTATTGACATCTTATAAATTTTTACTCATAGCATTTCCGATTGTAATATAAAACGGTGATTAAAAGCTTTAAACAGTTTTATCATTAAAGTATTAGGTAAATTGGTTTCGCAATGTATTAATAAGTTAAGAAAGTGTTGCCATAAATATAGAATAATACTGGACAAGCTTTGATGTAGCATTGAAATTGCAGACCGTAGGGTTACGATAAACATAAAATTATATCATGGGGTTCGGTGAGAGAGACAAAGTATTAATGATACATACCAATGATATTTTCATATTAAGGCATAATGTAGAGAAGAAGTGGCTGTTGTATACAGGCAAGCACAGCGCTTTAATACATTATGCTATTAAGTGTTGTGTTTTGGGTGCACTGCCTAAAATTATAAGTCATAATATATAATACTTGTCCTTATGAAATTATAAGACAATAATTAGTAATATTAATATGTTACCATTATTAACAAATTTTTTATTATAATTCTTGAGTTTATGTAGTAAAAATTATAAATAATATGATATTGAAAATTATAATCAATTACTCGTATGTATGTAAACAAGTATTACGTGTATATAATAATTTTTAAATTATAATTTTTACATTGAATTTTTTATAAAAAACATAATTGACATATATAAAATAAAAAAAACTTTAACATGAAATTAATAAATAAGATATAAACATATGTTAATAATTAATAAATTATAATAAGTAGTTTTGAAAAATTTAAAACTATGACTGTCAGTAGATCAATACACAAAGTAAAAAAATATGAAAAGTTAGTTTTTACAATTTTGTAATTCTTAATGTAGTTTACGTACTATTTAATTTATTAAAAATTTTTAAGAGATTTATTTATAAATTTATAGCATACATACAGAAATTTATGTTATGTATTTATTATTATCATCGGATATATATAACTATTGTTGACATGTATTCCATTTTTTTTAAAATTATATATGATATGTTATATGAATTATATAATTAGTATTATAAAATTATGTATAACAATTATATTTTTTAAATTAATATTCAAATTTTATTATTTCTTATTGATTTTATTTTATATTATTTTTATTATATTTTAGTTTTATTGAATTTATTAAATATACATATGTATAAATATGTTAAAATAGCCAAAATGAATAAGATGCTTAAAATACCGATAGCAAAAAAGTAGCAGATCTAGTCGAAACGACAGCAGTTATTTTATATAAATATATGTAATGTAGGGCTTAAATGGTTATGCAGACTGCACACATATTTATTATTTGCTAAAAGAGTATCAGTATTAACATAAAAAACATTTTCATTGCGAGTATATTAAGCCTAAAATTCATTTGTACTCGTACGTTCATTGCCTTTACGGGTTTATTTTTTCGTTGAGATTTTATGTCGTGCTGATATAAAAAATTTTGCACAAGCGAGCAGCAAGCAGATTATTGAAAATACAACCAACCGGTCGACATTGCATAGGCATAAGAGCAAGTGAAGGAAAGAATAAATAGTAGGTAATATTGTGTGAGACAAATACTCGTCATAGTAATGAAATTCGTTCGTGGATACTCGCAGGGGTAAGCAATTAATATGAAGCGTGCGAGAGGTTGTTGCTGCTTACATATCTTTTTAATATTGAATTTTTTGGTACAGTTTAGTTCAATTCAGTTCGAATTTGTCAGTATAATTTCGACGTGTTTGTTTCTCTTTATAAAATTGTACAAACAATTTTAATATGAAAAATAAATGCTAAATGCTTAACTCACACACTTTTAACTAGTTCTCTCAACTGCTCAACTACTCAACTATGCCAATGTGAAGAGCTGTTTGCTCTTATATATGTTATATTGTATATAGTTGCCGTATAATATTCCTAAAAGCCCATTTGATGATTTTTTAGTATTTTTGTATAAAGTATTTTATTTGAATTAATGTCGGTCTTTCTGGTTATTTTGTAATAAAGACCGGTTAATTACTATATTTAAAAATTAAAAATAAATAAATAAATAAATTTAAATAATAATAAAAATTAAAATAATGTGATAATTTAGGTAATAACACTTACTTTCTTTTAAGAGGAATTTAAAATCGGAATATGACATGGAAATGATTAGGTTTATCCTTAAACTTTATTTATTAAAACCATTTTTAGATATTTTTTTAACTAGTAAAAACTAGTTATGACTTGTTTTAAAAATTCTAAATTATTTATATAAATATAAGTACTTACTTTATTTCAAAGGATTAACTTTGAAATAAATAATATGCTTACATATAACAAAGTAATCAATGATTCTTTCACACTGCGATTTGTCCTAGATCCTACAATTATATTAAATATTAAATTAATTTCAAAACCATCTAAAATACGCACCATATGGTAATATGTGTATATTCATATTTTTATATAAAATTAATTTTTTTTAAATAAATTTATATCATAAGTATTATATGTACAAATATGTTATATAAGTAATTGTTAATAGTGCTATTGAATATTGGGTGCTCAATAACTCGGTAAAGTGATAAAGTTTTATGTATATTCCAAAGCATCAGATCTGATTATATTTCTGGTATTCGGTAAAATAGCTGATTCTAATTATTGTACAGTGATACACAAAGATTAAATTAAATTTAAAATGTTGAAAAAATAAATATAGAAATAGAGATAGAAATAAAAGATAAAATAAAAAAATAGATATTTTTCATTCATTCATGTTTGCTTTCATATCAAAAACAAGCAAGCGAAAACTAAATCAGCTGTTTAGGCAGTTCAATTTTACTCTACAGTGAAAG